AATCATATCCCCATTTGCTCCCCTCCCCCTACCAAAACACATTCATATTGTGTGTACTGCCTGACATCTCAGTCAAGCTCCATACATTGACATTCATCATGTCCTATATTGTCAAAACTTTATTCAAATAGTTTTTTGTGTAGCCTTTGATCAAATAACTTGACGTGTGTGCTCTCTCAATCAATGAAAACCATCCTAGGTCAAGAGTTCATCAACCAAGAACTCAGGTGATGGATGACACTCTTGTGCGAATCCGACATGCATGTCATCTACCGATGAGCCATCTTAGGCTACCAGGATACGCTGTACGCCTAACACCGCATGCAGCTCTACCATGAGCGTCGGATCGAAAGCACGATGGATTTCATCTTCGGCGATGCAAAGTGTTCCATAAGTGCATCATCCTAGCACGCCCGCCACTCAAAAGACAACAACACCATCACAACTCAGATGCGGCTAACGACCGACAGTGCTGGTGACTTTTCATTCCAGTTCTGTGAGGTACCCACTGCTGACTAGCTCCATAAGCTCATTGCATGTTCATATACAAATATGTTCATTGTAAATTTAAGAAAATGTTCACCACATATTAAGAAAATGTTCACCATATTTAAAAAAATTATTTCATATTTTAAAACTGTGCAGGTATATCACAAAAATGTTCAATGTGTATTTAAATATATTTCACCGTACATCACAAAAATGTTAAATGTGTATTTAAATATTGTTCAGCGTATATCACAAAAAATGTTCAGTGTGTATTTAAATATTGTTCAGCGTATATCACAAAATTGTTCATTTGTATATAAAAAAATCACCAAGTATTCAGAAATTGAACAGTTTGTTCATATTTTTCAAAAAAATATTCACATTTAAAAAGTTTGTTTGAATTCAAATTTTTCACAATTTTGAATCATTATTCACTTTTTTCAGAAAAGTTGTTCACGAAGAGAAGGTCGTGCCCAAGCTGTCAAGTTTGGCAAACAAGTCTTGGTACTTGGACAGAGCTGTGAGCAACCATATGACTAGGGATGTTGAGAAGTTTGTCGAGTTGGACTGAAGAATCACTGGTTCAGCTCCCTCTGGTGATGGTTCAGTGGTGGGCAGTGAGGGGCGTGGCTCAGTCCTCTTTGTCGCGCACAATGGAGACCACCGGCTTCCGACAGATGTTTACTTCATTCCGAAGTTGAGTAGCAATATCATCAGTTTGGGGCAACTAGATGAATTTATCAGCAAGTACTCAGTGGACGAAGGGCTGATAACGATATTGGACAAAGAGTAAAAGAGCACAAGGTGGTGGCGAAAGTAAGAAGGGCATCGAACACACTGTACATACTGAACATTGAACAGTCTGAACCAGTGTGGTTATGGCATGCTCGTTTGGACACATAACCTTTCATGCTCTACTTAAATCAGACTGTGGTTGGCATGGCAGGTGGTCTACTGAAGAGCAAGGGGCTGCCTCGACTGTTTTGGGTGAAGCAGTGTTCACTGCAGTTTACCTCCTGAATCGTGCACCGACGAATTAAGGGTGTTCGTGGTATCGCACCCTATGAGGCGATGTACAAGGTGAAACCAAGTGTTGAGCACTTGCACACATTTGGTTGCGTCGAACAAGTGAAGAAAGTTGGTGGTCACCTCACAAAACTAGCCGATTGAAATTCAGAGATGGCCCTGATCGGGTATGAGCCAAACAGTATGGCCTATATATAGGATGTTCGATCCTTGTGCAAGGAAATTTTGTCTTGAGATGTTGTGTTCGAAGAAGACAAACACTGAGAATGGGCGTCCTGCGAAGCAGAGCAGAGCAGAGGTCGTTTTAAGAGTAATGAAACCTGGGAGCTCACTGATCGGCCAAAGAGACACACAACAATTGGTTTTAAATGGATTTACAAACTGAAGCAAGATCCCCGTGGCAAGATCATCAAACATAAAGCAAGGCAGGTTGCGAAGGGCTATTGTCAAGAAACACTTAACCATTGTAGCAAGTGGTGATGTCCAAACAAAAAATTTACACTCGGATATCGCATCCATGTTGCAAGAGATTTACTAGTCATTTCATACTCATAACTTTGTTATTGTGCTTTCTCACTGGATGCATTATGCTAATTTGATTCTCTGATGATCCATCGGTTCAGGGTTCAGTCCATCTGGGCCTATAGTGGATACTACAAACCCAGTGTGGAAAACCATAGCGCTTCATGAGCTTCAAAAGCCCCCGATGACGCTACACGTTTTAGAGCATTTCGAATGAACTATTGCAGGATCATGTACCCTGAACTGCAAGGGTAGCATGCGTGACCTTTCATGGCAACAGGTAAGAAGAAGTGTCTGTACGAGTTTTTTCTGTGTCAACCTTCACTATCCAACCCCCGTGAAAAAAAATCCTTCACTACCCAATGACGAGCCAACTTTGTCTGAATATAGCATCTTTGCTGAAGTTACGGCCTCGTCCTGATAAATGTACAGAATCGCCTGTCAAATCTAGTGAAGTTTGTTTTTCAGAATCGCCTTGGTTTTCGCCTTTTATGGAAAAACATATATGCATAAACAAGAAAATGCAATATAACCATGCTGGATCCTGGAGTAGTTCCCATTTACAACTGTTGAGTCAGCTAACTAAAACTTTTGGAGAATCTCATATGGTGCCGTGGAAAAAGTTAATGAACATTTCTACCAGGCCTTCTAGCTAGCTATAGGGGACCAAACAGTGAAGAAACCGATCTCAACAGCGAAATGAAACGAAACGAAAAGAAACCACTAGTACCATCCCAGCTGCCAATCTTCCTCGGCTCACTCCTACTCGTCCGTCGCCGACCGGCCTCCGCCGCGTCCTGCTTGCTGAGCTCGGCCATCTTCTGGGAGTGATCGCTGATGATGCTGGCGGCGCGGGCGTCCTCGGGGAGCACAATCTGGTACCCATCCTTGAGCGCGTCCATGCCGTCGCCGTCGAGTAGCAGCTGCCAGAAGGCGCCGCCGACGAGCGGCCCGCCCCGCGACGCCGCCTCGTAGATGGCGTCGAGCACCATGCCGAGAAACCCATCCCTCCTCTGCGTGGCGGACGTGGCGTTCTCGCCGCCCTCCTCCCAGAGGAACTTGCCGTACTCGGTGACGAGGAGCGGCTTGCGGAGGTGGCAGTGGGTGTCGCGGACGTGTGACGCCGTCCAGTTGCGGAAGAAGCGCGCCTGCTGGTCGGCGGTGGAGCCCCAGAGCCAGACGTCCGGGTAGAGGTGGATGGTGGCGAAGTCGATCCCGGCGGCCTGGTGCGTGGCCACGAAGTTGGTGCCGTAGTAGATGCCCCACGGGTTGAGGTCCTTGCTCTCGTGCGCACCGTCGCCGTAGAAGCCCTCCAGCCCCGCCGTGACCAGGTGGGCTGCGTCGATGGTCTTCAGGTACGGCGCCATCTCCTCCACCCACGCCTGCACCAGGGCGCCCGTGGGCTCGGCGCCGCACCGGGGCTCGTTCATCAGCTCCCACCCGAAGATGGCCGGGTCGTCCCTGTACGCCACGCCGGTCACCGTGTTCACCCTCGTCAGCACCGTCTGCATCACACGTAGAGGAAGAGAGACATCATATCATTTGGGTTTAGATCATGAACGTGACAACGTAGTCATTGACACGTATGTATATGGCACGTGTGGCGATGAATGAATTGATGATTACCTTGACGTGGTTCTTGTAGTAGGACTTGATGAGGGTGTTGTTGAAGAAGTCGTCGGCGGAGGTGAGGTTGTGGGCGGCGGCGCCGGCGGCGACGTCCTCCCTCGCCCACTGTACGTACTGCCGCTTGCCGCCGAAGTCGTCGAAGTTGTTGGTGAGGCAGAGGAGGAGGTATATCCCGTGCCGCCTCGCCTCGGCGATGACGAAGTCCAGACCCTGCATGCCAAAACCAAACCACACAAGCTGTCATTCTGCACCGAGCAAGCTAAGCTAGCTTTCTTTGTCGGCACGTAACGTCGGTATCGAGCAAGGCTGGTCGACGGAGGTCACCGGCCTTACCTGGAACATGTCCTCGTGGTAGACGCCCGGCGAGGACTGCAGCGGGCGGTCGCCGCCGTCGCTGAAGGCCCAGGTGCGCGCGAGGTTGAGGCCGTGCGCCGCCGCCTGCCGGAACGCCGACACCACCCCGCCCCTCCGCGACGGGTCGGACGCCATCTCCATGAGCCAGTAGGCGTTGAACCCGCTGAGGTACACCGTCCGGTCGCCGTCCCCCGCCACGAACCGCGTGCCGTCCGTCCGCACCATGCCGCCGTCGCCCCCTCCGGCCGCGGCGGCATGCCTCGGCACCGCGAGTAGTACAAGGACGAGGAGGCCGATCACGAGAGCCGGCGGCCGTGGTCTCATCGCCGGCCTCCGCTACCAATCAAGCTTTGGTTTGCACGCCTTTTGGCAGCAGAGAGAGACAGAGCGCGGTCACGCGTACGTGCAGTGCGAACTAGCTTGCCTAATTTGGCGCGAACTTAATTGGTGCTGCTGCTGCTCGGCCGGCGCGCGCGCGCGTAGTAATATACGGCAGAGCACTAGCAGAGCCCACGCCTGGAACACGGCGATCGGCACCTCATCACTCTCTACGTGGACAAACACGTCGATGGATCCACGAAAGCGACTGCTGTGTTTGAATAGCTTTGTGCTCGGTGCAATCAGGCCATTGTTGTCTTCGAATCGAGCTTCGTGTTAGAGACACGCTGACGCCGGCGGCCGAGCTGGAGCGTCTGCCATTTGACGTGTAGGCGGTAGGCGTAGCGGCCGTGGGCCCCACCTCCCAGAGAAGGGGAAGTTGGATTTCCAAACGCTGCGCTCCACCGCAACGAGCCGGCGGCTCTCTTGGTGGCTAGCTTAGCTAGGGAGTCCCGTCACGTTATAAAATCGGCACCTGGTCCGTGGTCGGCCGGCCGGCCTGGATCAACGGTCAAGATTCCGTGCCGAACGAACAGGGTAGCTACTACCGTCACGTAACTGTAAAAATTGTCGACGTAAAGCGAGCAGAAGAGCAGAGACGTACGTACGTATACCGCGCGTATGCGTTTACGTCGGCAACGATCTAGGCGGCGCGTGGGAGATGAGCCACGACGGCAGAGGCCGGCGGCGCGCGGCGGTGTCGGCTGTCGACTCGACGTCAACAACGTACGGGCGTCGGCGCGTGGCCTGCGCATTAGAGCTACGCTACAGAGTACAGCGAGTGACCAGGAGTCCAGGAGTCTCAAGCATTCGACGGCATACAGGTTTAATTATCTGATGTTTTGCATGCTGGTGTTAGGGGCTTTCCTTCTCGAGAAGGATAGCTAGCTTAGAGCATCTCCAACAGGCGACCAAAAAAAGCTTCGCGCGCTAAAAGTTTGTTTTTTGGCGCCGGACAACTCCAGCAGAAGCTGTAGCGCTAAAAGTTTTTGCGCGCGCGCTGAAAAACGCTATCGCGCGCATCATATTTGGGGCGCCGGATTACGCGCGCTTCACAATTTGCACTGTCTATTTTTTGAGCGCGCGTTTTTAGGCACCTGCTAAAGTAAAGTTGGTCCCGACGCTTTAAAAGTGCTACAGTGGCGCGCTATATTATTTATTGGACGCGAAATTTTTGTGCGGCCGTTGGAGATGCTCTTAAGCTAGGGATCCCGTAGGAAGGCCCAAGAGGTGCCTACAATGTGCAGTGCAGTGCACCTCAGATCGTACGTGCACATCCGCAACGGCAAGTTACGTGGCCATTGTCGCTCGCTCTCCATGTGTCCATGACCATGACGTGACTGGTGTGTTGCATTATAGGATGTGATACATATATAGTAATCAGTAATGTGGCTCGAGGTTCCGTTGGTCTCATCGAAGGCCTCGTCGCGTCTCCCGTTTGACGCGTAGCTGCACATAGAAGTTTCACGGGGCCCACATGTGGGAAGGGAAGAAAAAGAAGCAATTGTTCTACTCCACATTTTCGCCCCGGGACCATGCCAAAAAAAAAAAGATTTTCGCCTTGGGGTAGATCCATCCCATGCACCAGACATATCTGGGCAGCACCGTCGCATGACCGTAAAAACTGTCGACGGAGAGGGATAGATCAGTTGTGCACCACCATTTCCATTTGTGGTGGCCCGTCGCCACATGGCGGTATAGGAAGAGCGCTACATATGCCGCAGTGGCTCGTCCGTCGGCCGACCAGAGACAGCGCCGATCGACCTTGACGTAAATACACGCGCGCGTGGCCGACTTATAAAGTGCACTGACATGCTGTTGGTCAATTGCCGGAGAGGGGGAAGAGATGATTTTAAGCGAAGCAGACCAGCTCCAATAGCTTTTCCAAAGACCTTCCCTAAAGGTCATTTATGGGATGATCATATAATTTATGACAAGTTGTCTAGTACTCCCTCCGTTTCTTAATGTAAGTTTCTTACAGATTCTAATGTGGATTAGATACAGAGCAAAATAAATGAATCTACATTCTAAAACACGTCTATATGAATGGCACGTTGCCGGAACTCGCCAAAGCGGTTGTGGTTGGCGGTGCTAGTGATGGCATGGCGGTGGCCGAAGGAGGAAGAGGAAGCGCAACGGTGGGGAGGCTCGCCGATGGGCGGTGAGCGGTGTGGCCGGGGCGGGGCACATGAGGGAGCTCCTTTCCTGGCGTCGCGGTGTGAAACTTCATGCGGTGCTGGTGGTGACGCGGCGGCGGTGGTCGGCGGTACTGGTGGTGACGTGACTCGGCGACAACGGCGTGAGGGTGGGGAGTTGGGGGCAATTATATGAGATCCCATAAAAAAATCTGGGTTTACGGGGCTTTTGGAGGGCTATTTTCACCCGAACTTCCTGTAAACAATAGTTTTCTTATGGATATGGGAGCTATTGGAGTTACTCTAAGGCGGAGACAGGACGACATGTCGAGTGGCAGCGAAGATTGGGGACGTCTAACGAGGCCAAGCTAGGAGTGACGCGGAGGCAAGGACGGTATGAGAACTCCGTCTTAATGATGAAGTGCCACCATCGCCGAGCACCGCATCCTCCACGGGCCTCGTGTCTGTATACACCCACACCACCAAAACGAGAACAAGAGGGGAAGACCTTATTTCATACTGACGACACCGCCATCATCTCGCCATCGTCGATCGAAGAAAATCTAACTTTATTCGACTGTACCTCTATCGGAGCGGAGACCAAGGGTACCCGCCAATTCCGGTCATCAGAGCGATAGACAAAGGCAAAGGAGGCCTGCAACCCAACAACCCAACATCAGAGAGGAGGCAAGATTGGTCGCCACTTAGGTCGTGGGAGTAGGTGGGTCCCCCTAATTCAACAGTTGTGCTACAAAACTGAGCAAATTAAAACATGGTCAACATCAGATCGGTGAAACCGAATAGCATTTTGTAAAATCAATCATGGTTCATAACCAGACAACATATATCCCATCAAAAAATGCCAAAGGTGAAAAACAAAATGGCTACGTTGTTGAGAGATAGAGAACATGAAGGCTTGAAGACAACACCTAGTCACGCCCTAGAACACCTAAGCTCCCCAATAAATCCCTCAGGAAGGGGAAACGACCCTAAGTGTCGCTGCTGCTGAGTCCGAAACAGACATGAGTTTTCACCCGAAACCCTGGCTCGGAGAGGAGAACCACAACGACATCCTCAAGAGGATAGAGGTACCCACGGGCACCCGTCGCGCCCAAAGCGTGAAGCTTTCGCTCGGTAGCTCGCATGTTCCATCACGAGGCACTCAGTACGACCGCGATGAGTACAATCATCTAGATCTAGATCTCGATATCGTCGTGTCAACGAAAGAGAACGAGCCCGACCACCCTCCGCTACACACCTTGCCGCCCACATAAATAATGGACATAGGGACCACTGCAGTTATGATGTTCGCCCTCAGAGCCAACCATAGGCACTATCACCCGGTCCGTCGCCCCAGCATCCATGTCTCGAAGACACCGGCAACCGTCTACATCACATCATGCTAAACAAGCAGGGGGGGGGTAGCGGAGGGCGCCTCCTTCCACTCCTAGCCTGACATCAGCCACCAAGTCACGACGGTCTAGCGATGAAGCGTCCACGCCTGCGTCCCCATCGAGTCCCGGTGGACTGGGGAGACAACTTAGTGACTGCAGACAGCTGCTGACGAGCAAGCCCCAGGCATATCCCTCTTGCCTAGGCACATGCAATCCCGCGCGATGCCACACCCATGGCCTTCACGCAGATCCTTCCAACGGCTACTCCCGAAGACGCCTCTACTACCACTGCCACGTGCGCCGCTCTCGGCCCATGATGGCAGTTGTCGTTGAACACCCAATTTGGGGGAAACCCACACAGCCGCGCACAGCCACTGCCTGCGTGCACTACCAACATGACGATGGTGGCGTGAGACGCGCGATGCAGTCGGC